CCCCCCCCCGCAGGCCCGGCCCGGGGCCCAGCACAGAATCACAGGGAGCAGCCAGCCAACAACCCAGCCAAAGTCAAAAACACTTGGCCGGCAACTCCCGAAGCCCTTGGCTCATCTGTATTCCAGGCTGGAAATCAAGAGGGGGCCTGGCTGCCGGGCTAGGACCTGTCTTTGCAGGGGGTGGAAACTCTGAGTGGCCGTGTGAAGCCTTCGCTCCCCGCACGGCTATGCCAAGCGCAGCTCTTGGAGCACGAGGCAGAGGTGACGCATGGAGGGCCCCCTCCCGGCCCCCAGCTTCCCTCCTCAGCAGGCACCACACAGGCCAACGTGGGCTGAGAAGCACTAGCCCAGCCAGGTGCCCGCACACCACTTGGTCTCTCTCACACGGGCAGGGGGCGGGGGGAGCGGGGCGGGGGGGAGGGTCGGGCCTTCCTGCCAGCCAGCGCCCTGCAAGGACAACGGGACACGCGCAGGGCCGGCCCCCCGGCTTCGAGCCCCGCCTGCCCTGCCTCCGTCCCCTGCTCAGAGTGGACGCTGCAGGGAGCATGTGTCTCATTTTGCCCACTTGTGCCAAAGCCACGTGGGCAGCCAGGACGGGACCGAAATCAGGGACTGTCCCGGCCAAAAATGGGAGATACGGTAACCCTCGGCAACGGCCTTCTGCCACCTGCGCCTTGTTTGCCGCGTCCTCGCTGGGGAGAGGGAGGCAGACAGGATACGTCTAAGCCCCCGTGGCTAGCGACTCCGGCACCGGGGCTAGATCGCAGCAGACACGATCCAGCTCAGGCTGGACTCCGGTACCCCCATTTCACAGCCAGAGAAACGACACTGAGTGACTTTAGCCTGCGGCTTGAGTCAGCAGACACGGGCCAGTTGCAGGGGGGCTTGCTCCAACCACCAGACCCAACTCTTTTCCCGCAGCTGGGAAGAAAAGCTAGGAGCCCTCTGGGACCCAGCTCCTGGCTTTAACCACTAGCCCACAGGCCCCTCCAAAGGCAGGGAACAGGGCCCAGGAATCCTGCCCTGCCCTGACTCCGGGAAGGAGCCCATCTGACCACTAGGCCCTGCTGTCATAAGCGGCACTTCTGGCCTCCGCCCCCTGCCCTCCTACCTGCCCTGCTTGGCGTAG